CTAACTGTGAAGCATGGTAGTGGAATAGTTATGTTTTGGGTTGCCTTGATGCTTCAGGGCCACAGAAGCTTGTAATTGGGTCAACTAAATATTCTGCATCATATCAGTGTGCCTGTTGACAATATGAGGCAATCTGTCCAAAAGTTGAAGTTGAGCTGGAAGTGACATCAAAGGTACAGATCCAAAGTACCCTAGCAAATCCACCAAGGAACGGTTCATGAAGAAGGAATGGAGGGTTATAGACTGTCCTCTGGGCAAACCTGCCCCTTAATTTATCCACCGCTATATGTGCTCCAAATTGGAGACTCTCAAATATAGCGTTGGGACCAAAGTATACACAGGAGGAGCCTGAGCACTGAGGCATTCCATATATATCTGCAAATGTCTGCAACTAACTGTAAATAATGTGAATTGTTAGGGTCAATTGTTATGGGGGGTTTTTCATTTTTTGTTTTTTTGGGGTTTTTTTTGCAGGCTATCAGGTATGTATGTTGAATAATATTTTGTTTGTGATGTGCAAAGCCCTTCCATTTGCACCTTACTGCAAAGGATAGTTGTAAATTGGGGTGGTTGCCATCTTTTTGTATAGCTTGTTCGCTGGATTTGATGTGGGGGCACATTGGATGCTTTCCGATGCCCTTGTGCTATTGTGTTATTGTAAAGGCTAAAGGTTTCTTACCTAATGCATTTGCTGCATTAAGGTAAAAATAAATCATTTACATTTAGTAACCCCACCATTTTTTTTTTAAACCACTTCAACTCTGAAAGATTTTACCCCCTTCATGACCAAGGAATTTTTTTTTTTTTGCTATTCAGCACTTCGCTACTTTAACTGGCAATTGTGCAGTCATGCAACACTGTGCATGCATTCAATTTTTATCATTTTTTTTTCACACAAATAGACTTTGTTTATGGTAATATTTGATATTTTCTGTTATAAATCATGTCTGATTAAAAAAATCTAATTTCTTCATAAATGTAGACCAAAATGTATTCTGCTACATGTCTTTGGTATAAAAAAATATATTTATTGGTTTGTACGAGCGTTAGTGTCTACAAATGATGGTATATATATACTGGAATTTTTATCTGTTTTATTTTTTTATACTAGTAATGGGAGTGATCAGTGACCTACAGTGGGACAGTGATAGTGCAGCCAGCAATCTGACACTAACTGATGCTGGGTACAAACTAACTAAATGACACTGACCTCTCCAGTGACACTGATACTATACACCGTCACTGTACTAATGACATTAGCTGGGAAGGGGTTAACATCTAGGGGCAATCAAAGGGTTAACTGTGTGCTTAACAAGTGTAAGGTGTGTAATATGTGCTGCTTTTACTACTACATGACTGCTTTATCTCTTTGCAGGGAAAAAAAATGGCCACACCGCTGCTCTCTCCCCCTATTCAAAGCCCTGTGTTGGTAGACACAGGGCCATGAACTGTCATTTGCTAAGCTGATCAGCAGGTCCTGGCCATAAATCATTGGCCAGGACCTGTTGATCAGCTTATGCTGTAGTGAATGACAGAACGAAAGGGGTGGCAGCGTACGTGCCCCCTACCCGGAAATGCCAGATCACCTACATATACTTGATCTGGCACAGGAGGGCCGATCTACCGCAAGAAAATTGTTAGACAGGGTCAACTTGTTTATTTTCAGGCTAGCTAGTAACTGTACTGAGAATTTTTTGTTTGTGTCAAACACTTCCATGTGCACCTTACTGCAAAGGTTAGTTATAAAGTGGACTGGTTGCCATGTTTTTGTGAATAGTTATAGACTGGATTAGTCAAAGCCCCAATTTGATCCCCATGGAAATGATATAGGGGGGTTTCAAATGGGTAGCTCCTGCAAGGAAAACCTACAAATATATTGAAACTTAAGGAATTGTGCATCTAGAAGCGTTTAATTACTGGTGGATAGGTATAAAAAATATATAAAGCGAGCAATGCCAGCTTTTTAATGCCAAGGATATAAACCATCTATTAATAATTTTGTGGACATTCATTAAAAAAAAAATAGTTTTGTGTCCTTATTCGAGGAGATCGCCATCACCTGTAGGTACTTATTAGAATTAGATATTAGATAACATTTGCCTGTTCTTATATGTTGAAAAACTCAACCATTTCCATGGGGTGTAGTTGGTTTTTCATACGACTGTGTGTATGTCTCTGTATACATTATTCATAGATATACCGTTTATCATTTTTGTCCCTTTCAGCGTTGATTGGAGTTTCTTCCTGTGCCTCGCGCCTCCTCACACACAATGGCTCTTCTGTACTTTCACAGGAAAGGATTCAAATTAGCTGACAATAAATAGAATTGATTTGCATCAGGGGATGATTTACTCCTCTCATAGCTGCAGAGTTGATATGGCTGAAAAAAAAAAAGACCGATGGCCATCATGTTTAGTCTTTCACAAAAAAAGGTTTCTTCCTGATCCCCGTCCTTCCAGTGGGGATTTGGATTAAAGCGGTATTAAACCCAAAAGCAAATATTTATTAAAGGGCAGCTTACCATTTCTTAGAAGAAAGCCTAAAAAAGAAAATAATTTCAGCCACCACATCTATTTCCATCTGGTGATCCAGACAGTAAGTTTTTTCAAAACAACAAGCTCTCCTCCAGATGTATCAGACGAGACATACCATTTAACACTGGCAGGTGTGCTTACATGATCAACTTTTATTTATGTAAAACATTTATCCCAAAAGAAAAATAAAGGTTTGCTGTAACTGATTATGAAGTGTGAGCTGGAGTTTGGCTTATATTTGTTAGATGTACTAGCAGATTTAGATACACTAACACTTCCTTCCCCCCCAGATCGACAATGCTGCTGTCCAAATGTTACCCCTGTGTTTATTCATCCAGAGTGGAAGCACTCTAATATGGGAGGCGTGTTACTGGTCAGATTGCTAGGTGGAAACGGGGAAAAAAAAAGCCTAAAAGAAAACTAATGCAACCACCACATAATGGCAAGCTGTAATATACTGGTTTTGGGTTTAATGCTGCTTTATTTCTCAGAATCAAAATGTTGCCCTATTAGACTTATAACTTTGTATATAATCAGTTAAAGAAAAAGATTTCTATTCTTCTTTTTTTTTTTTTTTTTTTTTTTTTGGTCCCCTAAAATCTTGTTATAGTTACATAATGCAGAAAAACGTGTTTATTAGCACATCAGGCTAGTAACAGAAGTTGTGTATAAACCCTAAATGTTTGGGGTTTTTTTTTGGTATATTTGGCATCAACTTTCACTGTATACAGTTTTCTTTGTCCAAAATGGAAAAAAAAAAGTTTTCCTTTCAGTTACACTGAGTAAAGGTGGGGGGCTATAATCCCCATCAGTGTTTGCCATCTGTGTCCCATTGGGTAGATTTCCCTTCACTTCCTGTCCCATAGCCAAAATAGGAAGTGAGGGATTTCTGGTGTGTCACCAGGATCACCGGAACTAGTATTGGCATTGGAAGATTTTCCCTGTATTAGTGTTCTGATGTCACCTAAAATTTGGGATTTTCTTTTGCTTTCACTGACCACAGTAAACGGGACAAATGGGGTGAATCTTCCTAATGGGGGCACAGCCAGAAATAAAAACTGGCAGGTATTCTAATCCATCTCCACTCTATTCAAAACTTAAAAAAAATGTTTTGCCTTTAGTTATACTTTGCAACAGATTCACAAAATAAATAAAGTGCAATTGTCTTAGTTTTTTTTAACTGGAGATCCTACCAGTAACCGCACTTCCTGTTGCAGGCTGACAATGGTAAGCCCTGCCTCTTAATTAGCAGCAGTGTTGTCAGCCTCCTATGTTGGGCTGCCTATCAGGTCTACTGGAGGCATATACAGTAGGCAGTAGTTTATATGAATTCCAATGGCAATGTTTATGCCATTGCAGTGCATTCCAGTACAGTCAACAAAAGTAGAACATTCTGTATTTTTTTCTGCAAAGAACTGAACTGGAATGCATAAGAAAAAAAGAAAATGAAAGAGAATGAAAGTGAAATGAATGAAAATGGAAAATGAAGAAAAATTTAAAAAAACAAAAAGCCAAAAAACTAGGGTTGCACCACTACGGATGTTGGTATTGATGCAGGTACCAAGTACTTGCATGAGTAGTCATACTTGTGCAAATGTTCCCAATACCCGAAACCAATACCTATGCGGTGCAATTTGAGTCCATGCTAAATGAATGGCTGTGAATTGCACTGAGAAGAACCGCATGCAAGTTGAACAGGAATGTGGTGCGATTCCTGTCCAAATCGCATGTGATTTCCCCCCCCCCCCCCCCCCGCTCCTGTATGGTCCATACCACTATAGAAAGACAGGGAAGCAACATGAAGTGCAGTACTGGGCAAACAGGTTGTCGTTATCACAACTCACATGTTAAAAGTGCCTAATATCTTGTATGTCAAATCCAGAACCAGCTGCTTGCTCTGCTCACAGGGAGAGGAGAGGTATAGTTGTCCCGCTCCCAAGCTGACATCACTTGCACCCTATACCCACAGGGGTCTCCTCCAGCCCTGTGAGCATCACAAGTGGCCAGTTTTGGATTTGACATGCAAGATATTAAAAACTTTTAACGTGCGAGATGTGATAACTTTTTAACCTGTTTGCATGCCCATTGCTACACTTCATGTCGCTTCCCTGTCTTTCTAAAGTGGGATGGATCACAGAGGAGTGGTGGGGAAATTGCATGTGTTTAGACAGGAATCACTCCACATTCCTGTTCAAATCGCATTCGATTCTTTGCAGTGCGATTTGAGCCCATTCATTTTGTATGGGCTCAAATTGCACTGCAAAGGTATTGGTACTTAATTGAAAGTGTCAGTACTTGTATGTGCAGATAAAAAAAATGGTATCAGCTCAACCTGAAAAAAAAAAAAAACACCTCTAGAATGTGTACAAAATGCACTGAAACGCATCCAGAGTGCATTCTGTGGTGTGCAAAATGTTGCACTCTGTACAAAACTACTGAGTAAATTGTGATTCTGCTTTGTGTTTCAGGAGATCAGGGAACATGAACCAGCAGCTGTGGGCAATACAAGGTTATAGAAATACTTGATATCATTTATACAATTGTAGTCGTTCTCACTTGTTCCCCTATCACTCAAGGTCTTGTGTGTTTCTATCACAGCTCTTCAGATGACATGTCGCCAGCACCTGGTAAGACATTCAGTGAATTGTTTTGAGCTCCGTTCCCTTGTGATGTGCTGTGTCTGGGGTGCTTTACTGATTCAAATTTAGAAAATCTTTCTCATTCTTGGTAATGGTTCTCTTCACACTGTGCTATGTCTACTCATCCCTCTCCAGAATATCCCTTGTGTAACCATACTTCTACAGATAAATGTTACAATAACTGGGGACATGGTTACAATGTTACAATAGCTCTTCTTACTGAAGCCTATTAACCACTTGCACTCCAGAGGATTTACCCTCCTTCCTGACCAGGCCATTTTCTGTGTTACGGAGCTGTGTTACTTTAACTGACAATTGCACGGTCATGCAAAACTGCTTACAAATGAAATTTACATCCCTTTTTCCCCACAAATAGAGCTTTCTTTTGGTGGTATTTGATTGCCTGTAGGTTTTTTATTTTTTGCACTATAAACAAAAAAAAAACGACAATTTTGAAAAAAACTACATTTTTGACTTTTTGCTATAAAAACATGTCCAGTAAAAAATGTTTTAAAAATCTAATTTCATCATAAATTTATGCCAAATGTATTCTGCTACATGTCTTGGCGAAAAAAAAATCCCAAATTAGTTTATGTGAAAGTTATAGCGTCTACAAATGGCGGTATATATACTGGATTTTTTATTTCCATTTTTTTATACTAGTAATGACGGTGATCAGCGGCTTATAGCGGGACTGCGGCGGGCATTCTGACACTGGGTGGAAACTGACTAACTGCCACTGACATTCCAATGACACTAATACAGTGATTAGTTCTAATAAAAAGCACAGACACTGTACTATTGGCACTGGCAGGAAGGGGTTAATATCTGGGGCGATCAAAGGGTTAACTGTGCTGTTTTACATCATGTGCTGTGTGTGTGTTTTGCTAGGGAAACATGCTGCTATGTGTCTTTCTGCTGTGCAGAGAAATATACGCTGGCAGGAAAGAGACCTGTGTTGTTTACACACAGGTCTCTCCCCTGTCCATTTTACTCGGCTATCGCTGGGTGCCAGTGGGGAATCTCCATCCGGGACCCAGTGATTGACATCCATAGCTGCCATTGGCGGTGCAGGTAGGATGACGCACGTGTGTGTATATACATATGTGATTTTTGCGCAGCCCTGCCGCCCTGTAGCAGTAGTTCTACTATAGGGCAGTGGGGACGTGGTTAACAGCTTCCCAACTGCCCTGTAGGAGATTTACTGCTACAGGGCAGCAGGGGTGTGCAAAATCATGTACCTGATTTCATGATTTTGCATTTCCGGGTAGGGGGCGCGTGCCCACCCCGCACCACCATTCGTGGCCGTGGCTGTCAATCACCGGGTCCCGGCCAGTGATTCACGAGCATCTCCGACAGGGAGGAGAAGTAAACAAAACAGTTCTCCTCCCTGTCAGCTCATGCACGCTGCTTTGGATGGCTGTGCACAGCACAGCCATGCAAAACAGTGTGCTTACAGTGAAGCACACAGGCACAGCTTACAGTGAAACCGCGCACACATAACCCTTTGATCTTCCCGCATGGTAACCCCTTCCTGCCCAGTGCCATTAGTACAGTGTCAGTGCTTTTTTTTTTTTTTTTTTTTTTTTTTTTTTTTTTTTTTTTTTTTTAAGCACTGATCACTGTATTGGTGTCACTGGGGATGTCAGTAGCACCAAGTCAGTTCCCCTCAGTGCCAGAATGCCCGCCACAGTCCCACTAGAATTTGCTGATTGCTGCCATTACTAGTAAAAATAAAAAAAATCCCAGTATATATACTGCCATTTGTAGACACAAATTTAATTTACACATATTGGGATTTTTTTTTAGCAAAGACATGTAGCAGAATACATTTTGCCCTAAATTTATGATGAAGTGTTTGGTTTTTAAAATTTTTTTACTGGACATGTTTAATAGCAAAAAGTAAAAAATATAGGTTTTTTTTTTTCTCAAAATTGTTTTGTTTCTTTTTTAAAGTGCCAAAAATAAAACATGCAGAGGCGATCAAATACCACCAAAAGAAAGCTCAATTCATAGGGAAAAAAAGGACGTAAATTTAATTTGGGTGCAGCATTGCATGACCACACAATTGTCAGTTTAATTAAGGCAGCACCGTAACGCAAAAAATGGCTAGGTCAGGAAGGGGGGTAAAATGGATGTAAATCCAAAAATTGTTTTTTTTTTTTTTTTTTTGTTGTTTTGGATGGTGTGGGGAATGGTTAAAGGAGAACTCTGGGATAGGATAAAAAAAAACTGCCATTAGTACACCCCCCTACACAAAACACTAAACCGTTAATAACATTTTGAAAATCCTTACCATTTAGGAGAAAAGTCTAATTGAATTTTCATGACCTCATCTCTGTAGTTCAAAAGATAACCGTATCTGCTCTGCCAAGGAGGAGGTGTAACAGCAGGGATTACATCATATCCTCTCCTCTCCTCTCTCTGCAGTAAAAGAAAACTACAGTTCCCATCAACCGCAGGGAATTGTAGTGAATGTGGGCGGGTACATTAGGCCTTTACATGTTGAATGTGTCTGAGAGTCTTGGTCCGCCAACCACTGCAAGTGGGGCTGAATGACATCACTGCTTCCTGGAGAAAGAACTACAGAAGGGATGTGCCAAGACCAGTGGCTGGGGGAATAGGAGGCATAGCAGCCACTGGTCTTTTAAAAACAGGAAACCAAAGACCACTGATGGTTAGTGTTAAAAATGAATAGGCCATTTCAGAGCAACTACCGAGTGAGCCAGAAGATGGATGACATATTCAGTGAAGGTAGAAAATCGGCAACAAGGACATGTAAAGAAGTTTTTTGCCCGGAGTTCTGCTTTAATTTTTGTTTCTTGCTATCTGTATACCATAGAGGAAATTTAATTTCCTTTCCTGTTCGGAGACCCAACCGGAAGTAAGAAGTTAGCTCTTTAAATTGAGGAGAAATTACCTCTTAGTTGTCAACAGAAAATGTGTCCTCATTGGAGGATTTCCTCTAATTTCCCGTTCTGATGACAACTGTAACATTTTGTATTTCCCATCATTTTATTTCCTGGTGATGATAGTCACCAGGACAAAGAGAGAATCATTTTCCCCAGCAGGGATACAGACAGCAAACAAAACCCTGACGGGTTCTAAGTTCACATCACTCTATCCAAACCTAAAATAAATTGGCTTTAGATTTACTCTTCAACAAAGTTTTCAGGTGCATCATTATTATGTACTTCAAGGCATTGAGATTACATGTGAAGCCTAACTCCAGCCTTCTCCAGTTGTATGAGCTTCTCTCCTGTACTGAAATGGCTTACTCTGATTTCACTGCACACTGTGAGTTTCTCACAATTTACATTAGAAACTGCAGCAAGTCAAAGTGTCTGCCTCATTTCCTGGCTGGAGGATGCCCAGCATCAATTAACACTTTCCTGCCCATCCTTACTACCCCTTGTCTGCCCCTTTCATTCATTGGTTTTCAATTCTTTAGATCACAGAGGCTCAGCATCATATGTAGGCATTGCCTAGGGTGGTTTGTATGCAAATACAGTCTGCCTAGGAACACTCACTCCTCCAGACTGACATCCACCTATCAAGACACTTTGATATTTGCTTAACTCCTCCCGAGAGCCATCACAATGCTTGTATCAGAGCTGGGGGCTTTTGAGAGGAGTACTGAGGCAGGGTGTTGTGATGTCATCAGGAATGTGCAGCACCCTGATGGCCCCTCCCACTAGCCACTATCTTCCCGCATTGCATAGAGAATCAGACTCAGATGTCACTGGGCAAAAAAAAAAAAAAGTGTGCAAAAATTCATTTGCACGTCAATTCGGATAGGCAGGGGGTGGTGAGGGACCAGGTAAGGCAAAATATAGCAGATTAAATTGAGATTATTGAATGTTTTCCTATAAACAGATGTGACACAAACATTTAGGGAGCTGTTAATGATGGAAGTGGAGTTTTGTGTAAATAATTTAGAGAACTCTCCCTGATGAATGCAAAGAGGATTTTCTGCAGCCAGTGTTGACTCCAAAATATTTTGGGGGCACGTAAGCCACAATAAAAAAAACATTGAGCATATAATGCTGTGATTAAGAGATTGCTTGTGTTCTCTGCTCTCTGAATAACTGGTGGCATATCTAAACCTGCACTGTAGAATGGGTCTCATCCACCCAGCAGCTCCGAGGGAGTCTTTTATGTCTCTAAAGTTCTCCATAAAGTGGGGGAGCAGGTGGTGTTAGTAGGATCTGTAAACCTAAAATAAGGGCTTTCTTATTTGCGTTTATTTACTATTTTTCACCTTCTCTCTTTCCTTCCCACTTTCCTCTTTTGCCTCATGCCCTCTCTAGTGTGCCCCTCTCACCTAAACTTGTGCGGTTCATTTCATTTTGAGTCGAAATTCGGACAAAATTTTCATTATTCGGAGATTTGGATGAATCCTACTTTCCGAATTACAGTAATAACGAATTTAAATGAATCCTAAACTACAAAGCTAAATTTCGTCTGAAATTCAAATCAAATTTGAAAACCATTCTAACTGTAAACATATTGCTGACTATTGCTGATTTCCTTTAGAGACTGTGTGTATTATTATTAGAATATAGCCATCTTCTGAAATTTGAATTTTGAATAGAATAGATTTGAATAAAACAGAATATAGCCATCTTGAAAAGTTCAAATGGAATGGAATAAAATAGAACATAGTCTTCTTTTGAAATTTGAATTTCAAATGGAATAGAAAAAAATAGAAGGATTATAGCTGTCTTCCAACGTTCAAATTTCAAGAAGAATGGAATAAAATAGAATATGGTTGTCTTCTGAAATTCAGATTTCAAAAAGAATAGAATAAAACTGAATAGAAAACCAAAGAATAGAAAAGATTTGAATATAATAAATTAGAATAGAATACTATAGAAAGAATACAGCTGTCTTTTGAATTTCATAAAATAGAATAGAAAATAATAGAAAAAAAAACAGAATATAATAAATTACAATAGAATAATATAGAAAGAATAGAATATAGTCGTCTTCCAAAATTTAAATTAGAAAAAAAATAGAGAGTAGAAAAGAATAAAACAATAGAATAAAAAAGAATATAATAGAAAAAGGAACAAAATAAAAAAGAGAATAGAAAAAATAGAATAGATCAGAATAGAAAAGAGAGAATATAGTCATCTTCCCAATTTCAAATAGCATAGAACCACCTGTTCACAATGAATTCAGATCAGTGTGATATTTTGGAAAATTTGATTTGAATACTTTGAATCCATTGGAAACTTCACCCAGAAAAATGTTGCAGTTACAAATGTTTAGGCATTCTCATGTTTATTTCTTTTGTTTGTATTGGTATGACACAAAAAAGTGGAGAAACAAATAGCCAAGTCTGACACACTACATGGAAAACCCCAAAAATGGACTGGAAACAATTATTGGCACCCTCACTTTAATATTTGGTAGCACATCCCTTGGGAAAAATAATTTAATCGCTTTCTGTAGCCATCATTGAGTTTCTTCCACCTCTCTACTGGAATTTTGGACCACTCGTCTTTTGCCAACTGCTCCAGGTCTCTGTTTGTAAGGGTTCCTTTTTTCAACTGCTGTTTTGAGATCTCCTCACAGGTCCTCTATGGGATTGAGATCTGGACTCATTGCTGTCCAGTCCAGTACTCTCCAGCGCTTTGTCTGAAACCATTTCTAGGTGCTTTTTGACGTGTGCTTTGGGGCATTGTTCTTCTGTAATACCCATGACCTCTGATGGAGACCCAACTTTCTGACACTGGGCCCTACATTGCACCCCAGAATTCTTTTGGTAGTTTTCAGATTTCATGCCATGCACATGGTCAAGACATCCAGTGCCTGAAGCTCCACCATGTTTGACTGGATTTTGGCTTCCTCAGTTGAGTTTTGGCAAACTCTATTCTGGCTTTTTTATGTTTGTGTCAGCGGTGGCTTCCTCCTGGGTCTCCTTCCATAGTGTCCCTTTCATTCAGATGGCAACATATAGTGTGAGCTGACACAGTGGTACCCTGTGCCTGTAGGCCAGCTTGAATTTGTCTGGAAGTTGCAATCTTTGATCAATTTTTCACCCACGTCCGGGGACATTAGCTACAGTGTCATGGGCTGTAAAACTTCTTGGCAATATTGCGCACGGTGGACACAGGAACATTAAGATCTCTGGAGAAGGACTTGTAACCTTGAGATTGTCCATGCTTTTCCACAATTTTTGTTCTCAAATTTTCAGACAATTCTTTGCTGCTCTTTCTCTTCTCCATGCTCAATGTGGCACACATAGACACACAACAGAAAGTTTGAGTCAATTTTTCCCCATTTTATCTGGTTGCCAGGGTGATTTCTATATTGTCAGCACCTGTTAATTGATACAGGTGAGTTAAATTACAAATTACAGGAGCATCACAAACTGGGAATGCAATTATTTCTTACAATTTTGAGAAGGTGCCAATAATTTTGTCCATTCCATTTTGGGGGTTTTGTGTGTAATGTGTCAGATTTGGCTTTTTGTTACTCTAATACAAACAAGAGAAATAAACATGAGAATGTCTAAAACATTTGTAATTGCAACAATGTTCTGGGCAAAGTAGTGCATTATCCGACAGAAATGCAGGGGTGCCAATATATTTGGATATGACTGTACACCCTGACAATCTTTTTAATGCTTTCTAATGTGACAGGAGCAGAAATGGAATCATTGATAATGGAGCCAGATAAATCGGGGTGTAAAGATTCGGGAGAGAAGGACAACATGGTGGAAAATCCCAGCGAAACTGCCATTGAGGGTAAAGGAACAAAATTCTGAGTGTAATGCTCGAGTGACTATGTGTGATCTAAATGCCTGGTGGTCGGATTTTGTCTTTACGAACGTGCCCCAAATTTTAGCTCTTTGCTAAGGCTGCCCACAATGGACAGATACAATCAAAACATGCAACACAGTTTTGGAGGAATATTCTGCTCCAAGCTGCTTTTAGTGTTGGCCACCTGACCAAAAACCTTGGCATTTGTCATGTGATCTCTGCTATAAGGCCTCATGTGCACTGGAATGTTTATTTTACTAGCAACAGTTCAATTAAGCTTTGACAAGCCTTGGTTCACACTGATGTGACTTGTCATGCGATTTGACTGTTCAGACCCCATGACCAATCACATGTAATGATCAGCAATGGAACTGTTCTAATCCTTAGTTCCTGCACTACTTTTCCTGATTTGGGTTGCGACTTGCATAGACATCTGTGCATGAAGTAGGACCCCAAGTCGCACTGTCATCCAACTTTGAAATTGTGCAACTTCACTTTAAGTCACATGATTTCAAAGTTGACCTGGTGTGAACCAGGGCTAAAACATGGAAGATGATTGGTTACTATGCACAGCTGCACCAGATTCTGTCTGCACCATTTTTTGCAAATGTCCACCATAGGCTTTTGAGTTGAGTTCAGGGGCTTTGGCAAAAAAACACCAAAAGCATGCATGAGGCCTAAGAGTCAATATCCAGAGTGGCTGATTCTTTCCTTCAGCAGAAATCTCATGAGCCACTTGATGCCTAGGCTTTTTGGTCATGTGGTCAGCACCAGAGGTAACCTGGAGCAGTATTTTCCCAGGGAAGGTAGGTAACCATCTATTACTTATAAACTACCATAAGAAGGGTAATATTGCTTCATGTTACATAGTTAGTCTGGCTGAAAAAAAAACTAAAGTCCATCCAGTTCAACCATTACAAAAAAAAAAGTTATAATCCTATACCCACAGTTGATCCAGAGGAAGGCATAAAAATCCAGCAAAGCACAATCCAATTTGCTCCTGCAGGAAAAAAAAGTCCTTTCTGAACCCTGAGAGGCGCTCGGATATTCCCTGAATCAACTTTATCTATAAATGTTAGTATCCAGTTATATTGTGTATCTAAGAAATAATCCAGGCCTTTTTTAACGCAATCCACTGAGCTGGCCAGAACCACCTCTTGAGGGAGTCTATTTCATATTTTCACAGCTCTCACTGTGAAGAAACCTTTCCATGTTTGGAGATTACATTTATTTTCCTCCAGACATAAAGAGTTTTAATCTTTTTGTAGCACCACACAACATGAGACTTTCAAAGTGCCACGAATACCATAAAAGTTTATTTAAAAAAAATCACTTTATTTAATAAAGGAAGCACAGTGGCTAAGTTAGCACTTCCACCTGGCAGTACTAGGGTCGTTGGTTCGAATCCCAACCATGGCACCTCCTGCCTGGAGTTTGCATGTTCTCCCTGTGGCTCGTAGGTTTCCTCCGGGTTCTCCATTGTCCTCCCACACTCCAAAGACATGCTGGTAGGTTAATTGGATCCTGCATAAATTGGTCCTAGTATGTGTATGAATGTAAGTTAGGGACCTTAGATTGTACGCCTCTTGAGGGTTAGGAACTGGAGTGAATGTACAATATATATATTTTTATATATATATATAGCTAGCGCTGCGTACATTGACAGCGCTATAGAAGTACCTGTAATAAATAAATAATAAATTACTCAAAAAAAAGCAACAGTGCTCCCATTAGGTATTATTATAAACTGATGTACAGTATTTAGGTAAGATATATGCCTGTATACGCTACCCTATCCAGCTATTGTATTCCTGAGTAGTTGCTGTATATATTATCTAAGCACTGCACAAAATACTATACCAATACCCAGTGGGATCGTATTGTATTAGAGGAACTTTTATACACCACTATGGTATTCGTAACTCCTTGAATGTCTCATGCTGTCTGGTGAGCCAAAAAGATTGGAGTCTAGGGATGTGGTATGACCTTTGAAGGGGCTCTACTATTTGGGTACACATATTTTTTTGGTTAACATTTGAGGTCTTTTGCCTTTTTGTCTTCCAGCTGCAGTCATCCAGTCTGATTCGCCACAAGATTCGGGTAACCCCAAGGATGGAAAATTGGTACGTGTGCTTAGTAGATTATCATTTACATGGTAGAAACTGTTAAATTAACATATTAAATCAGATACACTTGTGTTCAACCGTTCGATCCCGGTCAAGAAACATTTTATTTTGATTTTTGCATGTGATTGGGCATTCCAAGTGAACACAGATTCACTGTTTTAATGAGCTCAGTGAAATTTCACTTTACAAAGCCTTTCCAGAAAACAGAGCCAGGTTGGTGACCTGAATGTTCTCTGCTGCAGTTAAAGTGTTAGTTCACCTTTTGAGATCTCCTCACAGGTCCTCTATGGGATTGAGATCTGGACTCCTTGCTGGTCAGTCCATTACTCTCCAGCGCTTTGTCTGAAACCATTTCTAGGTGCTTTTTGATGTGTGCTTTGGGGCATTGTTCTTCTGTAATACCCATGACCTCTGATGGAGGCCCAACTTTCTGACACTGGGCCCTACATTGCACCCCAGAACTCTTTTGGTAGTCTTCAGATTTCATAATGCCATGCACACGGTCAAGACATCCAGTGCCTGAAGCTCCACCATGTTTGACTGTACGGACTGTATTTTTTTCTTTAAAGGCCTCATTGCTTTTTTTTTTTTAAAACAGTAGAATGATGGGCTTTACCAAAAAACTGTAATTTGGTTTCATCTGTCCACACTACATTCTCCCAAAAGGATTTTGGCTTCCTCAGTTGAGTTTTGGCAAACAGTGTCAGCAGTGGATTCCTCTGGAGCCAAGTTGGTGACCTGAATGTTCTCTGCTGCAGTTAGTGTTCACCTTTTCAGAAGGAATGTAAAGGTGAATGAACACCATACACTCTTCCCACCTGTACTTACCTCTGTGAGTGATGAGCTGTCAGTGCCCATGCAGCCGGTGTAGCATTCCATGGATTTGCATTCCCCACTCCCCCATTTTTTTCTGCAGATTGGTCAGAGTGATTCTGATTGCTCAGCGCCAGCATAGAGCATCACTCCCAGAAGTGCTGCAAAGAAAAGAGATAGGGGAGTGGAGATTTCAGATCCCTGGACCACTACACAGGCAGCATGGACACAGACAGCTTATCACCCATGGAGGGAAGTGCAGTGGGAACCAGGGTGTAGGAAGGGCGTACAGTACTCAACTTTTTCATTTTTTCTGAAAAGGTGAACTAACCCTTTATAGTGGACGTAAAGTCCACATTGTAAGTTGTAGTACTTACAGGTAAGCCTTCAATAATGCTTACCTGTAGGTACAGCGAATACCTCCTAAACTTGCTTAGCAGATAATCACAGAGCATGCAGCCAGTGATGTCACTGCTCCGTGTCGCAGCTGAGGACTCCCGCATGATTGCGCAGGAGTGACGTCATCATGCCAGGCATTCATACTTCCGGAGCCTGTGAACCAGGAATGGAAAACTGGGTGAAGATGGCGGCACCAGGGAGCTGTGACAGCGCTGCACTGGAAGGCTCCATGTGCAGGTAAGTCTGTCATAATGAACTAGTATGCGGTGCATAGTTCATTATCACCTAAACCTGCAGGGGGTCCATTATTTAGTTTTTTTTTTCTTGTGGTTTACTACTGCTTTAAGTAAACCAACCACAGTGTGTTTGAGGAGGCGTTATCAAAAAAGCACAATTCTGATGCGAGTTAATCAGGTTATGAAAGTAACTTCGGTGAACATTGAGATTAGTAACTCAGACGACATATACTTCTTTAAATTATATGTAAACCCTCACTTTAAAAGGTAAAAATATGTGTATAGATAAAAAAAATTATATACACCTTTTTTTATGTAAAAACATACCCTCTGTTCTCAGATGCATAAGGAGCTCAAGGAGCTGGGGGAGGAGAAACAGCAATACACTGGGCTTCCTAGTGAAATGCTGCGCATGGTGGAGGGGAAGCATGTGAGCTAGAAATCTCTTCTTTGGAAGAGAGCAATCTGAGTTCTTGGCACAGCTAGAAAACTGACCACACTGTGTTCTGCTTGTGTGGTCAGCTTTTAATAGGAAAGCAGAGAGACTGGCAGAAACACCAGTGATTTCACACAAAGTAAGTAATACAGAGAGAGCAGGAGTACAAGTACATGGTATAACAAACAAACAGACACATCAGGAACATGAAATGTTTGGTTGACACATTATTATTGTGTTACTAAATGTGGGAAATGAATACACCCTAACCAATCCTGGTGCTGGCAATGCGATGTGCCTGAAACATGGACAGAAATGTACAACCTCCACTATTTCACCAAAATCTTCAGGTTTTCTTTAAATTACGCTAATTATTTTACTTGCTAATTGTGGGGAAACCTTTGTGTTGCCCACAGTGTACATATTAAATCTCCATAATGATATGTTTAGGACAATTTAAAAGGTTTGTCATCCAGTGTGACACATTTGTTAAATTTGACATTTTCTATTTCACAGCCCCAGCCAGAAAAAGAATCGGCCGGAGAGAGTAAAATGTCCTCTTCAGAAGGTGAGTGCTTTATATGTCTGGATGATTTATTATATTATTCTGCTAAATACAATATTAAAAAACTGATGAGCCACAATTTACACTGTGTTGTCATTTATGGCCCACTGCATGAAGCTCAAAGAAGTACACAAGCTTCTTTGGGGCAAAATCTATGTTTTTGGCTTTACAGACTTTAATGGGAGCACTTGGAAAAGCACACATTTAAGACGCTTTTTGGAGGGCCCCATTTAGCCAAAAATGCTCAATTCTTCCCCTCTACTACAAGTTGCAAGTAAAAATGGATTGTCAGTCTTTCACACATAGCAAGGTGATTTAGAGACTTTTTTTTTTCATTTTGTACATGCAAAAGAAGCCCTCTAAATCACCAGGCTACACTTGCATGAAGTGTGTATAGGGGCTGATGATCAGCCCACCTGTGGACAATTTGAATCCACAACTCAGCAGCGATGTCTGTTGGGTTAGGTGCTTTAGCTGTAGAGTGTTCATGAGGTCATGCAGTGTGATAGTTGGGAAAACTACAGGAATGTCAGAGTACGTCTGCTTGAGGAGTCCATGTGTGAAATAATGTAATGTTACTACCGCAACTGGAAAGCATTGCATCATATACAAAATATTTGTGACATTGGGTGAAAATCCTAAACACCAAGGGATCTACTTATAAAAATAAAAAAACGTGGATGATCTTCACAAGCATTTGTCCAGCTCTCACAAATTCTGATCATATTTTGCTTAATACAGTGATTTCCTATGAACGTCAGCTCCATCTAGTGGCCATATTGCATTACTCTCCTGTTTGAGGTATTTGGAAAAAATACCACAACTAGGCCACTAGATGGAGCCAATGATCCCAGGATATCAAGGTATTCAGCAAAATATGGTCAGAATTTATGATGGCTGAGCAAATGCATTTAATATTTGCCCCCCCCCCCCTTTTTTTTTTTTTTTTTTTTTTAGTAGATAGTATAAGATTTTTTTTTTACTAGAAAAATAAACGAATTGCATATGAATAGAAAATAGAATTACCTCTAAGAAAACTAGAAGGTACAAAGGTGGACTTTATAGGCACCACACGAGACCGCACATTGTAATAAAAAAAAATATATAAACTTTATTTTGACAAATATAAAACTGGACACATATGAATATACTGTATGCCCTATTAAAAAGACCATGGGGAGTACCCCCAAATGTATAAACTCCTCATAGCATATAATGTGCATGAGTACATAAAGCATGCTCACATCTCATCCATCTTTAACGATCAACGTGTTTCTCATTTAGCTTCTTCAGGACCGCGTGTTTGAGGAGATAAAGCACTAATACTGTAGAAAACATAGAATATGTTAATCTCCAGTACATAATAGAAAATTTAAACACATTTAATAAAACAGAAAATAAGAGAGGCTCACGTGGGTGGGGCACATTACTATAAAGATAATCCAACAATACTATAATATATACCAATCATACTTAATCTCAAGGTTCAGATAAAAAGCACACATTATTATGATCCAAGGGTACTTGCAAAGGATTCACATCAGAAATTTGAATATTTTTTTACTTTCAATAGACCAACATTCCTTTTAGGACATAAATCATTTCATCCATGTTGTAAGCACTGAACGCCTGTATATAATTCATAAAGGAGAAAATTCCTTCTAGTGACTCCTCATTGAATAAAGGGTAAAGAGGAGTTCTAAGAGGAGTCACTAGAAGGAATTTTCTCCTTTATGAATTATTTATAGGCGTACAGTGCTTACAACATGGATGAAATGATTTACGTCCTAAAAGGAATGTTGGTCTATTGAATGTGGAAAAATATTCAAATTACTGATGTGACTCCTTTTGTAAGTACCATTGGAACATAATAATGTGTTGTTTTTTTTTTTTTTGGGTTTTTTTTTTATCTGAACCTTGAGATTAAGTATGATTGGTATATATTATAGTATTGTTGGATTATCTTTATAGTAATGGTGATTGGCCTCACGATTGTTGCTTGCCTGTCCAGTAACTGGTGGTCCCTTTTACTCCCCCTATGTTTGCCTGTAAGACCTTACTTTTGGATCCTTCAGCAATGTGCTCCACCCATGTGAGCCTTATTTTCTCTTTTGTTTATCAAATATTTTTATATTATCTATTATGTGTTGGAGATTAATATATCCTATGTTTTCTACAGTATTAGTGTTTTATCTCCTCAAACACACGGTCCTGAAGAAGCTAAATGCGAAACGCATTGACCGTTGAAGATGGATGAGATCTAAACATGTTTTACGTACTCATAAAAATGATATGCTATGAGGAGTTTATACATTTGGTTGTACTCCCCATGGTCTTTATAATAGGGCATATAATCCTATGTGTCCAGTTTTATGTTTGTCACAATAAAGTATATGTATTTTTTATTACAATGATGTGTGGTCTCATGTGGTGCCTATAATGTCTGCCTTTATACCTTCTAGTTTTCCTATATATTTTTCTATATTCTGTATGTATTTTTTGATGTGGCACATTGAAAGCTTCCATGAATTATGTTTAATTGCATATGCATTTAGAAACTTTTAATTTTTTTTCTGTAGTGGTTGAAACTTCACCATCCATTAAAATGAACTCACAATGTGCAGAAGACAACCAGTAAGTGTTGTGGGTTTTTTTTTGGTTTTTTTTTTTTTTTTTTTTTTTTTTTTTTTTTAGTAAGAGTTTTAATCTTTTTTCCGGAGAATAATGGCTAACGACTGATTTTTGTAATTTCTTTTGTAGCACTTCTAACAACAACAAAGAGTTGGAGGTGAGTCCACAGACCTTCTCCTTTTAGAGGTTTTCTATAATTTCACACAGAAGAATAGGACTGCAAATGTTGAAAAGCTGTAGTAGCAGTATTCACGATCTGGCTGGTTTGTTCTGCAGTATTTTGTGGACTTGTTTCTGCCCTGTTATCTCCCTTAATTAATGGAACCCCATGGACTTGTTCAGACTTGTGTGCACGTTGACAAATGTTTTTTTAACATGTCCAAGCATGTTTCATTGATTGAGCCCATTTTGTTTCAAAGAACTCTATAATTAATCAACAGACAAAAAAAATGCACCACAAGGCAGTGCATACAATAAAAGTGCATCCTTTTTTTCTGAGGGGCAGGTGCGTTTGTTTTGTGGTTATATGCACATTGTAGTTTCAATGAAAATGAATGTAGCCACCTTGCGTTGCTCTACTGTACATCAACATTCTACAACTAGCACACAAGTATGACTTCTTTTGTAGATAAATAAAGCACCAAGATATTATTGGCAGTCCAGATAAAGTTTATTTCTCACCGTAATTTAAAAAAAAAAAAAAAAAAAAAACAATTTTGGGGGGCCTTGACAGTACTGCAGGTCTGTGCAATAGTTTGGGCTTTGATTAATAGGGTTTACCTTCGAAACACGTAAGACATTTTTAGATCCCGGATGGCGTGGTCTTGGTGTTGATTACTCTGGGTTCCACTATCCACTGTGCCACCAGATGGTGGCTTGTCCTGCTGTATATCTTCACAGTTTGTATGTTTTTAACGTTCATATAATAAATTACCCCTGGGATAATGCACTAGGCTGATTGTTTGTTTCCTTGCAGTTGTTACCGAACTTCTCCAGTTAGAGGGCAGCAAGGCCTGGCACTTCCCTTGGCGTTGTTTTAAAAGGAAGCATGTACAAATTGCCCCTAGTCCTAGTCCACTACACTTATGCGTCAGAGGTGTTATATCAATTCAGTTTGGGAATCCTAGTATTAAAATTGTGTAAACAGCATGAGATCTGCTCCAGTCCCTGGCTTGGCCGTACAATTATTGTGACCAATATATTATCTGAACTGCAAATATTATCTTGGTGCTCTCCTTCAATCATTGGGCAATAAAACATGACAGGGGTTCCAACCCTTGCCCATGCTGTCTAAAACAAAAATATTTTACGATCTATTTGTTATACCAGCACTACCATCTACGGGATACAAAGATATACTACACATTTAAAGTTATGATAAGCTTTGTCGTGCTTTGGTGAGAATGGCATAAGCAGCCAAAAAGTCCTGTAATTGAGGAACAACAGCAAACTTCTGCAGTGAAACTGAATTTTATCAAAGAATTCCAGCTAAAGGAAATTTCCTGGGTTTTTTTTTCCTTTTTTGGTCAGACTGAATTCCTGCGTCTGTCTCTGGGGTTCAAGTGTGACATTTTCACTCTGGATAAACGCCTGCGTTTGGAGGAAAGATCTCGCGATTTGGCGGAGGAGAATCTGAGGAAGGAGCTTGCCAGCTGTAAAAAGCTCCTGGAGGTATGGTTATTCCTGAAAGCAATGTTTATACTTTATTTTCCTGGACTTGTGAATTAAATACTGGTTGTAGTTTCTAGACTAGTTTTTATTAGACAAGGACCTGTCAATCAACAAAGAATTCCAGTTGTTAATACTACTGTATTAGTGCACCATGCATGCTTAAGGGTTCCAGCTCTGCATTGTACTAACACATGTACAAAATACAGCAGCATTGTGCAGCACCTCATTCTAGCATGACACAGAATGACCTTTTTTTGTACATTACAGCCCATTTATTTTATTTATTACAGGTACTTGTATAGCGCCGTCAATTTACACAGCACTTTTACATACATATTGTACATTCACATCAGTTCCTAATCCTCGAGGGGCATTAAATCTAAGGTCCCTAACTTACATTCATACATACACATATTAGGGCCAATTTAGACAGTCATTTAGCAGCATGTCTTTGGAGTGTGGGAGGAAACCCAGGAGGAAACCCATGCAGGCACAAGGAGAACATGCAAACTCCAAGCAGGTGATGCCGTGGTTGGGATTTGAACCAACGACCCTAGGACTGCCAGGCAGAAGTGCTAACCATTTAGCCATTGTGCTGCCCCTTCATTTTGATTGGGTGTGGCATGAGGTTGTCAGAGGTGCCATGGCATTCAGTTAAGACTGAGCCCCCACTGTTCTGTTGAACTGTAGATCAGCACAGTGGGAGGTTGATCAGGGCAGGCAGAAGGAGCAGCTCCACCAGTGGGTCAAGTCCTGCACCAACCAAGGTGGTTGAACCTCACTGGCAGCAACGGAGGAGGTGTCTGCACGAGCAGGAAGTCAGGGAGCATGGGGATGCTGGACACGCTGTAAGATTCTTGCCAGTATGGGGGGGGGGGGGGATTTTCTGGCTGTATGTGCAGGGGAAAGGGGGAGTTCTACTGGAAGAGGGGAAGATAACTGTCAGCACCAAAACAGATGGCATCAGAGCTGTGTACCATGTGAGGCTGACAAGACTGCACAGCGTAGAGGTGACATGCAGGGACAGTGCCCAGGACAGCTTGGTCTTAACCCTGTTGCATGCAGGTTGCCATTGCTATGATAATACATTGGTGTCTTTGGATCTGACAGGTGGGTTATACTGGTGCCCAGGTGTTACTGGTGACATAGTGGTGCCCAGGTGTTACTGGTGACATAGTGGTGCCCAGGTGTTACTGGTGACATAGTGGTGCCCAGGTGTTACTGGTGACATAGTGGTGCCCAGGTGTTACTGGTGACATAGTGGTGCCCAGGTGTTACTGGCAGCATGGAGGTGCCCAGGTGTTACTGGCAGCATGGCGGTGCCAAGGTGTTGCTGGCAAGTATGTTGGTACCTAGGTGTTGCTGGCGACATGGCGGTGCCCAGTTGTTGCTAGCAAGCATGTTGGTGAATAGATGATGCTGGTCATATGACCGTGCCCAGGCTTGCATGATAGTGGTGATAATTGCAGGAAAGCTTTGTGTTTGCCTACTGACAAGGCCAGATTTATGCTTTTGCCCCACTTCCTAAGACAACTGTCTAGTGCCACTCAGCAATGTGTTTGTGTATATGTGTGTGTGTGTGTGTACATTAGTTTTAATCTTGACCCCTAATCCTGTATGATAACAACTGCTTTTTTTTAGTGCTTGTTCACAGTGTCAGCAAGGACTGCCGGTGCTCTGAAAAGCAATCCATGCTTGAATCTCTTTTCAGAGGAATTTGACGTGGTGAAGAGGGGATATGTTGCCTCCTCAATGCCTGTTTTCATCTCTTAAATGCAGTATCACAGTGCCTCAGCTGCGTGCAATGCACACAGTTGCAGGCTGGTTTGCCCCCATTCACCTGAGGGTACACTTCCTGCTGTGGCCACAGCATGCATAGGACTCTGGCTGCTGCCTCCTGCATCTAAAGGGAGAGTAGATGAGGGTAGTAAAAATGTGGCTTAACCATGTAGTTTTATCTTCCAATAACATCACATGTGAACAAGCTATTGGTTCACATCTGTGTGGCTGCATGCTCTGTATAGGGCAACCCATTAATTTCAATGAGCTGCCCTACCCACGGAAAAGCAGTCCCTGACCATTTTTTTTTTTTTTTTTTAAATCGCACCGAACTGAAAATGCCTTGCCTTTGTGTGGGGGTACCATTGAGAATTAATGGCACCCCTGTTCATCTGCTAAATAGCGGCATGTTTGTCGGGAACACAAGACTTGGACTGGGGTACCTCAAGACTGAAAAGTGTGCCCTGATTGGAAAAAGGTTAAGAAGCATTGAGTTAGATGAAATCTCTACAAACAGAAATCTCTACTAATATACAGGTGCCAGCAATACTAATATCCATTCCTCACTGGAAGTTTTTTCCCTCCTTCCTTTCCATAATATTATTTTCCAATGACAATGGTCAACCAGACAAATGCAGAAGGTGGGGGAGGGGGTCTTCAGAATTATCCCAAATGAACAGTAAGTGCGCCTCACTAATGGGTAAAGAGTCCAAAATGGTGTTCCATTAGATAAACCGTAGTAAGAAATCCAACATGTTTTGGGGTTCAGACACTCCTCCTTCATCAGGGCTGCAACACAAGTGAGAGAATAATAAAATGGGATGATCAAACATTCGTAATTATAGGTTTTATTCATAGCAGAACTATATCGAACACATTTATGTAGTGTGTCATATACAAAACAAAATAGTCCATATCACTAGAACAGTATAATAAAATCTGTCTGAAGCTGTGCGCACAATACACAGAAGTCATATAGCTTCAAACTGTTATTGTTGTGTGTATGGTATAATTGGTTATATTGTTTCAAACTATTTTCTTTTGTTATGACGCACTCTATGTAAATGTAATCACTTATGGTTCTGCACATAACGAATCCTATAATTATAGATTCTTATTCATCCTATTTGTTTTGGTTAATAATATTGGGTTCTTTTTTTAAAAGCATTGTGTGTTATAACGTTTTGAGAATCACGTGTTAGGCCTCGTTCACACTTGTGTTTACAGACATTCTATGATATCCTGCAGGAGATTCAGTGGGCTTTGTGTGAATAGCTATGGGCAGCAAATCCCATACAAAGCAGTGAAAGGCTGGCGGCATATATTCTCATGTAATTGGAAATTGACCGATTACCCGTGGATGATTGGCCCTGGACGCAAACTGTTGGCTTTTTTTCCTATTGATTATCTAACACTGCTTCTTGTGTAATTGAGCTATAAAAACCTGTCAGAGGCTTGAAACCTTCCTTATCCTATTCAGAACTTAAATTAAAAGTTTGTCATATATACAGTAGGACAAAAAAGTATTTATTCAGCCACCAATTGTGCAAGTTCTCCCACTAAAAAAGATGAGAGAGGCCTGTAATTGGCATCATAGGTAGACCTCAACTATGAGAGACAAAATGAGAAAAAAAAATCCAGACAATCACATTGGCTGATTTGGAAAGAATTTATTTGCAAATTATGGTGGAAAATAAGTTTTTGGTCAATATCAAAAGTTCATCTCAATACTTTGTTATATATCCTTTGTTGGCAATGACAGAGGTCAAACGTTTCCTGTAAGTCTTCACAAGGTTGGCATACACTGTTGCTGGTATGTTGGCCCATTCCTCCATGCAGATCTCCTCTAGAGCAGTGATGTTTTGGGGCTGTGGCTGGGCAACACGGACTTTCAACTCCCTCCAAAGGTTTCCTATGGGGTTGAGATCTGGAGACTGGCTAGGCCACTCCAGGACCTTGAAATGCTTCTTATGAAGCCACTCCTTTGTTGCCCGGGCGCTATGTTTGGGATCATTGTCATGTTGGAAGACCCAGCCACGTTTCATCTTCAATGCCCTTGCTGATGGAAGGAGGTTTGCACTCCTGTGATTGTCTGGATTTTTTTTTCTCATTTTGTCTCTCATAGTTGAGGTCTACCTATGATGCCAATTAGAGGCCTCTCTCATCTTTTTAAGTGGGAGAACTTGCACAATTGGTGGCTGACTAAATACTTTTTTGCCCCACTGTACACTTTAAAAAAAAATAAAAAATTTCCGTCCAAAATAGATTTTGCATGGCCAGTAGCAATAAAAATTCTGTCTTTGCTACTTATATCCTTAAATCGCTCCAGTAGTCAAGCGTTCTGAACAGAATTTCCATTTCCACACTAATTTTTGTGGTCATTTGGGGTCCTCTAATGAAGAATAAACCAATAATTGGGGAGTACAGCTGTGAAAGATTGAAATACTTTGATATTTCTGCAGGCCTTGATTCCACTGTGCGAGGACGATAACCAGACAAATGAGATTGTCAAGAAGCTGGAGAAGAGTTTGCAATTTCTGAGTCAGCACACGGCACGTGTGGCCAGCCGAGCAGAGATGTTGGGGGCCATTCACCAGGTGAATGAATGATTGTACTCAATACAGAGTTCACCAAGATTAATATTCCAAATAAATGTAACTTATACCTAACCTGTAACTATTCTAAAGTAGAAAAAAATGTATATAAAATTGTTTTGCTAATGTAAGTAAAGAAACAGCAAATTTGTGAAATTTTCAAATGAAAAAGTAGATCTAAACCCAATCACTAAAATCCATTTTAAAATTTACAATGTTTTTGTCATTTCAAAAGTAATTTTCAATATTTTTTTTATTTGAAAAAATTCATGGTGATCCTGTTATTAAGGCCATTGTTCAGGCATTTCCTGTTATAAGGTGACAGTGCTCTGCCCCTGTTTTCCAATTGCTTTCCTGTGTTCTCACCCTGTTACATGGACTTCTGATGGAGACTACAAGTGGCCGTTTCAGCACACATGGTCATGGTCTACTGTTGTACTATCAGGTAACCTGCCCTGACAAATGCAACCTGACAGCTCAAATTCACGGCTGCTGCGCCTGTTGGGTGGGCAGAGCCTGATGGGGTACACTAAGACTAGTTCCCCATCAGGTTAACCTTCATCAGGTTCTTGTCTGTAATTGACAGTGCACAGCAGTGGGCCGATTCCAAAGCCACCATTAGACTGAATAACGGCTATGGATCTGTCCACTGACATCTGCTGTCAATCAATGTAAAGTGGGCCTGATGGGGAACTAGTCTCCTAGACCATGTGCCAGTCAGTGTGATGGCACAGAGGTCATGGTAGGAAGGAGTGCACCGAGGAAGGAGCAGGGGAGGACTGACCATTTAGAAACTCGGGTACTGCCCGAGGGCCCGGGGTCAGTAGGGGGCCCCATGAGATGCCCCTGGTACCTTTTTCATAGGCTTTGCGTTTGGGCAAGGACACAGGGGCCCCATGATCCCCTATTGCCCCGGGGGCCCCATGAGTTGTTAGTCTGCCCCTGGGAAGGAGCGTCCAGTATGGACGCTGGCCTCAACAAATGCATGTACCTGTCTGTGTGACTGTCACTTTCAGAGCTGCGCCCTGAGGGAATTAAAATAGATGTCTGTGATGCCCTTTTATGCATTTCCCAGAATGTGTACGGGAGTGAATTTCAAATTTAAATTATGAAAAAACAGAAAATTATATAGTGCTAATACCATATAAACCCCACCACATATATTACTAATACCAAAAGTGACAATAATAATAAAATAAATTAAATCAACATAAATATACCAATATGCACATAAGTAATAGCAAAAAAACATATAAGAGGTGATGCATATAAGTGAAAAAATGCACATCTATAAATGTAAATAAATCAATATGCACATAAATAATACATAAAAAAAAACATATAAGTAGTGATGCACATAAGTGTCTATCTCACTCACACAATACACGTGCAACAAAGTGCCATATAACAGGTCCTAAATGGGACCAACAAATATAAATAGTGCCCCAAATGATCCTAAACGGATCTAATAGTGATAGAAACACTAAACAAAAAGTCCAAATTGGGACTAAACTCAAAAAGTGCTCTTAGGGACTTAGGAGCGCAGGAGGTCTTTCACATATTTAAAATTTAAATTATGCTGTGTTTTTGCGGAACAAGTGTTGGGATACAGAGTTAATCAGCAGCTGGCTGGAAAAGCCCTGTACCCCAACGCTTGTTCTCGGCGGCCTTGTGCCCCAACGCTTGTTCTCGGCGGCCTTGTGCCCCAACGCTTGTTCTCGGCGGCCTTGTAGCCCCCCAACGCTTGTTCTCGGCGGCCTTGTGCCCCCCAACGCTTGTTCTCGGCGGCCTTGTGCCCCCCAACGCTTGTTCTCGGCGGCCTTGTGCCCCCCAACGCTTGTTCTCGGCGGCCTTGTGCCCCCCAACGCTTGTTCTCGGCGGCCTTGTGCCCCCCAACGCTTGTTCTCGGCGGCCTTGTGCCCCCCAGCGCTTGTTCTCGGCGGCCTTGTGCCCCCCAGCGCTTGTTCTCGGCGGCCTTGTGCCCCCCAGCGCTTGTTCTCGGCGGCCTTGTGCCCCCCAGCGCTTGTTCTCGGCGGCCTTGTGCCCCCCAGCGCTTGTTCTCGGCGCCTTGTGCCCCCCAGCGCTTGTTCTCGGCGGCCTTGTGCCCCCCAGCGCTTGTTCTCGGCGGCCTTGTGCCCCCCAGCGCTTGTTCTCGGCGGCCTTGTGCCCCCCAGCGCTTGTTCTCGGCGGCCTTGTGCCCCCCAGCGCTTGTTCTCGGCGGCCTTGTGCCCCCCAGCGCTTGTTCTCGGCGGCCTTGTGCCCCTCAGCGCTTGTTCTCGGCGGCCTTGTGCCCCCCAGCGCTTGTTCTCGGCGGCCTTGTGCCCCCCAGCGCTTGTTCTCGGCGGCCTTGTGCCCCCCAGCGCTTGTTCTCGGCGGCCTTGTGCCCCCCAGCGCTTGTTCTCGGCGGCCTTGTGCCCCCCAGCGCTTGTTCTCGGCGGCCTTGTGCCCCCCAGCGCTTGTTCTCGGCGGCCTTGTGCCCCCCAGCGCTTGTTCTCGGCGGCCTTGTGCCCCCCCAACGCTTGTTCTCGGCGGCCTTGTGCCCCCCAGCGCTTGTTCTCGGCGGCCTGTGCCCCCCAGCGCTTGTTCTCGGCGGCCTTGTGCCCCCCAGCGCTTGTTCTCGGCGGCCTTGTGCCCCCCAGCGCTTGTTCTCGGCGGCCTTGTGCCCCCCAGCGCTTGTTCTCGGCGGCCTTGTGCCCCCCAGCGCTTGTTCTCGGCGGCCTTGTGCCCCCCCAACGCTTGTTCTCGGCGGCCTTGTGCCCCCCAGCGCTTGTTCTCGGCGGCCTTGTGCCCCCCAACGCTTGTTCAGTAATAAAATACAGCATAATTTCTATTTTTAATTCAGTCCAGTACACACTTTTCCTCAGCTCCCAATGAATAAAGATTTCTAGTCTCATATTAAAATTTTATATCTGGGTGTGGTGCTTCTATCTCCTATTTAACCAGTATGAACTGTATTCAGTCGGTCCTGTGTTTAAAATGATTGACACGCAATGTCAAGGTCTAAAGGTCCCCAAGACTTGTTCATAAAATGTAGCAAGCTCAACAAAATGTCATAGCCCACCTTTTTAACCAATGTTCATTTGTTTTTGTTCCCTGTATTTTGGCCCATGTCATACAAGGTTATAGTAACTGTGTATTTGATTCAGGAAAGTCGGGTTAGTAAAGCGGTAGAGGTGATGATTCAGCATGTTGAAAACCTAAAACGCATGTATGCCACGGAACACGCTGAACTGGAGGAGCTCCGGGAGGCCATGCAACAGAGCGACCGCAGCAGCTGTACTACAGACAGAGGTTAGAGCCAAATGCCTCCATAGAAACTGCATGTGTATTTACAGCCATTACCTCCACAACTTGTTGATTTGTTCCCTCTTCCTATATGACCTTTATTTTCACAAATTTTAGCTCTGAGTGTTTTCTTTAAATAGAACTATAGGCAAAACAGTTTATTTTCATTTTGGATAGAGTAAGGGAGGGTTATAACCCCTGTTAGTTTATTTTTTGCCATCTGTGTCCCATTGGGAAGATTTACCTTCACTTTCTGTCACACAGCCAAAACAGGAAATTAAAGGAAATCCCTGAAAATTAAAGGAATTCCATGGGGACCCCCCAGGGCACCAGAACTAGTGTCCTCATTGAAAGACAATGCAAAATTTGAGATTTTCTGTTACTTTTACTTTCAATGATAATGGTAAACAGGACAAATAGAGGGTGAATCTTCCTAATGGGGGCACAGACAGCAATATAAACTGACAGGTGTTCTAAATGATCTTTGCTCTATCCAAAAAAAAAAAAAAAAAAAAAGTTTTGCCTTTAGTTGTACATAGTTTAGGTACTCTTGATATAAATTTGTCATAATTAATATTTTTATGCATTAAGCAGTATTTAAAGAGGGGGCACTCTGCAAATTCCACATTGGCACAGTGCACACCCCTCCAGTAGGTGGTTGGGAGCAGAGCACAGAGCTGAATAGTACAGTCAACACAAGAGGCCAAGTTCAGCATTCTCGCCACTTCAGCCTGCTGTTCTACAGAAAAGTAGAATCTGGGTGTCTTTAGTGACTAACTTAAGTTTTTAATGATGTTATCTTCTTTCAACAATTATCGTATAATCTGATAACATAAAGTGAAAGCTTATATCAACTAGAGTTCGCCAAAACAACTTAAATTCCATCTCTTCTGCTTTAACAGCTAACATGCTACAACAATCCTGCCGTCCATTGGTTATTGTTGCTTCCCATGGATTGTTGAGTAATGACCAGAACACATCCCAATAATGTGCAATCGGCAAATTGCAGCAAGACAAGAGCAGCATGCTCTGTCCACTAGTCTGAATTTGGGCGTAAGGGTCATAATTTATTATGGATATTCTCATTCCATTGGGTTCAAATTGTGGCAATATTATCCCCAAAACAAACACAGGGGTACATGGGCAGTTGTGACAGTACTCTGTTGTTTTTGGGCATTGCCTGTATCAGGGATGCTGCCGGGGGGTACCTCGAAATAAGAGGACACCATGCCGGTACTTCACACCAGCACCTTGTAAATTAGGTTGATGTTGTGATTTGGCAGAGTATGTCTCACATTAAAGCCTAGCACACATGAAAATTGTACAAAAAATACAGCTTTCAAAGCGATTGTACAATAATCTGATCATTAGTACACAGCTTTCACCCAAAATTGATCAAAGGGACAAGCACAAAAAGTTTTCTTGTACGATACTAGATTGTACAATTTTTTTGTTTAATCAGTACAGTTTTCATCTGAAAATACAATACATTACATCACTTCTGAATTTTTATTCTGTCGTAGAAGAATTTTCGTAACTTTAGTAACCTCTACACTTTCGATATGAGACTAGCATGCAAAAAAAAAAAAAATGGACGATCATTTCAATATTCTCATCATGTGTATGGGGCGTAAAAGTTTTTTTTCTTTTATCCACCTGTTCTCACTTAACTATTTTTTTTGTCCTTGCAGATGATTCCTTAAAGTTAGCATCATCGCTTGCTAGTAAGGTAAGTGCGGCTTCCTGTGTGGTGCTGCACTAATTGGTCTTCTTTCGGTATTTTCATCTTATTTTTTCAGCAATAAACTTGGCTTTAATTTTTCCAGGTCTCCCCTGCCAGGAGGGTCAGTATGCCAGCATACACAAGAGGAATTGGCACCACCTCTGCCATGGTGAGATCTGAATGTGGATAATATCCTGGTGCACACATTCTGTAACATTCATCTGAAATGAATTTATTCAGACGTTCCCATTTTTACTTGCTTGCTCTTCCAATATGTGCATAATTGTATTTCATATAAAATTGCGTCGATTCTTCAAGTAGCGGCTGTTTGTAAATGAAGCAGAGCAGTCAGAACTCCCACTAAAGGGGAGAAAAATGTACACGGCAATTGTTTTGTACTTGGCTGGAAGCCGATATTGCATATAATTATTATTTATTATAATCAAATATGGAAAATAACAAGCTATACACATGAACAAACTTTGTACAACTCTAAAAATTATTTATATATAGCATTTAAAATAATTTGCATATGTTTTCTGTGTGAAGTCATAAGTCCTGATTGGTCTTTCTGCCTTGTACAGGACATCTTTGGAGGAGACAAGCTGGATAACAAGATGCACAGGAGATCAAACAGCTGGTGAGAGAAGCTTGGCGCTCCATACTCTTTTCTGTATGGCACATCCTTGACTCAGGGAAGGTGTAGGACAGTAGTTTTCAACTAATGAGGTATAAGGGGCCTCAACTGCGGCCCATGATGTCACCAAGGAGCCATACATAACATTCAGTATATGTAATGTTACAGAAAGTGGTTGAAGAGACAAACTATAGACATGCTACAGGTGTGCTTGAAGATTGGATAGATGCTGCAGGAGACGGTGAGAAACAGGAAACATGTTACATGAGACTGCAAGACATCGGTCATTACAGCCTATTTACAAAATCAACACTCTCGCTAATGACTACTGACATTCAGGGCCATATAGGAAGCACCAAATAGCTGCATGGGAAACACCAAAGGGACCCCAGGTTGGGCAGCAGTGGTGTAAAGATTGTCTTAGTCCTGTCTCTTTGCTTAGCTCAGTCCTGTCTCAAGATGTAGTCTATAACCTGTGACCTTTTGAGCACTAATCAATGATGGTGGGGTGTAAACGACCATCTACACCTAACCCTATTTAATACCCGCTGAGTGTTCCAACAGGGTGATACCAGAGCTTTACATGCCATTGGCATTTTGATGTCAACTGAGCCAATGGCTGTAGCAACTTCCAGTGTGGAAGTTGGCAGAAAATCCTTTTTCTCATCTTAAACAAGGATGCGGTTATTATAGGGAGTTCTTATGACAGGATAAAAACACTTTGCATTCACTTAACATTGAAAGGAATCTGTCATAATCACCTCAATTGGGTACTTTTATGGTTTACAAGAGTACGTGTCAGGGCAACAAATGGTGGAATCACACTGGGGCAATTTGAGCAGCCACCTGGGGCTCCCGGGAGGACGCATACCTGGTAGTGGCAGTGTTGCTTAATTAAAGCCCAAAAACCTTTAAGTACCTTGACAGACCTGGTTTTCCTCCCGTGCTGTAGGTGATCTGGCCAGCAAAATCATTGGTTCCCACTCTGTCTCAGGAGCCTCTGGAGCTAGTTTCAGTCTTCACCAATATCAATATTATTGATATCACTGTCAATATTTATTATTGAGACCATTTAGTTTAAATGCTCTGTACACTTTGAAATGTTTTTCGTGTTTTAAATCGGTATTAGTGTAGTTATATTGCCTGTGTTGTTTTTTGGCCTTACCCTGTAATGATGGGTTCACATGTTGCTTCTGCAGTTTGTAGTGTCACGGAAGATTGATCCCCCTGTGTCCATGTATTCAGTCACCTAGCTTGTCCCTACTCGCCAAGGGAAAAAGCAACTTCTTGTTCTGGGTCACTCAGCATCCAATCAGTGCCTTGCCATTTCTGTGTTGCTTCACAAATGTACAAGTGCTAATATGATGAAACTCTTCCCTTCGTTGCTCTGCTTGCCTGTTTCAGATCTAATTCGTAGTTTCAACTGCAAAGCACTAGACTGAGAGACCCAGGGATTGTGAGATATGTAGTTGCTTCACTAGAAGTGTCAGTTAAACTACAGACAGAGGTCCTGTATTAGCATGCCATGCCATATGCCTCATGTTTGAACATAAGCAGGAATTGATGACAAAGGAATGTGAAGATTTATTCTACTATAGGCTGAGCATACAGGGCAACAAACACCATGAAACTACATGATCAAAGCACATCTTATGCAAATAAAAAATACAATGTAAAGGGTGACTCCACTTTCATGGGGAAATAAAAATAATATAGTATATACAATTACGACACAAATCATATTGCAATTGAATGTTATTAATAATGACTTTTCCTTTTCAATCTTCAGCGCTGTAACTTTCTGTAAAATGCAATATGGCTACCTGGAGGCATTCTGTACATAGATGGTTTACAGAATGCCCCCAGAAACATTATTTCCTGCTTGTGTGATTGGCGACCGATTTTCCCAGAAGTCTGCACTAAGATACAAGTCAGATTTCAGGCATCCCCTGCAACAAAATTGTCATTTTTGGTGAGATACTCCCAAAAGGGCAATCCGGTCTCAAGGGATGCAGACCCTGTGATTCTCTTCATTAGGGCCCTGCAGGTGCAACAGCTGATTGATAATTATGAAGTCACTTCCATGCAGATTCATTCTGAACATGTGGGCACAAACAAACAGCTCTCTCTTCAGAATAACAAAAGGTAGGAATCTGCAACAGTTTGTTAAAATCTTGGCAATATACATACACTCATGGGCCACTTTATTAGGTACACCTTAGTACTGGGTAGGACCCACGTTTGCCTTCAGAACTGCCTTAATTCTTCCTGGCATAGATTCAACAAGGTGTTGGAAACATTCCTGAGATTTTGGTCCATATTGTCATGAGTTACTGTTGACTTTCTGTCATCTTGAACCAGTCTGCCCATTCTCCTCTGACATCAACAAGGCGTTTTTCGTTCGCACAACTGACACTCACTGGATATTTTCTCTTTTTTTGGACCATTCTCTATAAGTCCTAGAGATGATTGTGCATGAAAATCCCAGTAGATCAGTGGTTTTTTGAAATACTCAGACCAGCCCATCTGGCACCAACAACCATGCCATGTTCAAAGTCGCCTAAATCCCCTTTCTTCCCCATTCTGATGCTCGGTTTGAACTTCAGCAAGTCATCTTCACCATGTCCAGATGCCTAAATGCATTGAGTTTCTGCCATGTGATTGGCTGATTAGCAGTTTGTGTTACCAAGCAATTGAACATGTGTACCTAATAAAGTGGCTGGTGAGTGTAGATCACACAGAGGAGTGTTTTTTTTTTCTTTTTTTTTTTTTCCCAAAAAAGTGGAGTTACTCTTTAAGGCAAGGAGGCATATAATAAAAAAGTTTCATTGTTTAGAGTTTCCCTTTAAAAAATGCTCAGGTATGAAAAGCCATCGTGTGACGTTGGCCACTATAGTCTTCATTGATTGTTGGTTCTGTATTGCATGTATGGTATTTGATGTTTTGAGGGTTTCTTTCACAGGAAGTTGGTGGGTTCCCGACAGAACGACGGTCGCCCCACTCTGCAGAGGTTTATGGATAATTATACACGCCCAGAGCAAGCGGAGGAGAATTCGATTAAAGAGTGAGTGACAAACCTTCCTCAGTTCCCATAGCAGCACAGAGTATGTCAGGCTACAAGGGTCAGAGGGCGAGGGCCAAATCCACTCTGGTCAAAAAGTACTGAAAGGCTGTGAAATGATCAGTTTTCTATATGTGTTCAGATGTCAGCACAAAGCTACAGCTGTCTATTCAGATGGCATTTTGCAGCTACAGCTGTGTGTTCAGATTGTAATTTCAAAGCCACAGCTGTGTGTCCAGATGTCATGGGGTTCCCTGCAATGAAGGCTGGCTCTTGAGTGGGGTGAAGTGAAGCAAAGAGAGCGCAACCAACTCAAAGTGAGACTAATGCCTTTCAAAGGGGGACCCTTCTTCATCAGAAGCTCTGATGAAGAGTCCCCCTTCGAAACGCGTCAACCTCACTTTGAGAGTCTACCCTCATGATGTGACTCACACTGGCTCTACACCTCAATTTCCTTTGAGTATCTATTTATGCTTGTTATACTTCCTTGTTTGTGAGCATATATATTTTTTATTCAATAAAATCATAGTATACTAAGGTAATGCGCAAGGTTGGTGCGCTCTATCTTTTCGCTTCACTTCACAGTTTTGGTTAGGCTTCCTCAGCCTTGTTTTAGAGCTGCACAATCTTCCATGCATTTGTGGAACTGTTTCAAGGATTCCTTCCACCTTTCCACCCTTGTTTTGAGTCCTAGAGCGCAGGAGGTTTTGTTTCTGTTTCATCTTGAGTGGTGTGGTTTAAAGGGGGTCTTTGCTAAGTACCATTTGCATCTGATCTGACCACATAGCATAATTTAGTGTCAGAATAAGGACCTCATGTAGAACAGAACATTTTCAGTTTTTGGGTTCTCAATAGCCAGGCACATGTGAGAAAGTTCAAAACATGAAGAGCTCCATGTGGCCACTCCTCCACAACTGGCCATGAATGCTGGTGACGAGCAAAAACACATTGTGGTTGACTTCCTGAGTGGGAACCGATATATCTGTAGTTTGAGTGGCCTGATTTCCATTGTAGCAGCCCCTTCAAGCTTCAGGAAAGGAGTTAAAATTGTTACTGGGTTCTAGATGGAGATCTATACAGCTCCACTGTTAGAATTGTTGTGTCTAGACTGGAGAAAGCATACGGCTTTAAACACTTTAATTACAATATAAAGGTTGTTTTATGCAAACAGGGATGAGCCCAACACTGAATTAGTGGAAGAAATAAAAGAAGAGAGAGTCCGGAAATTCAGCTTAAAAACGCCATGCCCCACCAAGCCTGAATCCAAGTAAGTGAATCCTGTCCATTAACAGTTATAGAAAATAAAAAAATTGCATTCATCCTATTATTATGGGCAGTAGTAATATATTGCATTATGGCCACTAAAAGTAGCTGAGGAGAATGTCTTTGTAAGAACAGAAGCAATTTACAATGGAATTAGAAATAAATGTAACTAATGACTAAAAAATGTATTCAGGTGACAGGATCACCTCCTGAGTGCCCGATAGTGGCTGTTCTACCACCCTCTGGAAAGCAATCCACCGTGGATCTCTTTTCTGACACGGTAGAGGCTGGAGCCTGTAAAGCCTTCTCGAATACTGTTTCCTTGTTACCATGGAGTGGACGGTTAGGTTGTAGTAGAATTAAGTGTGATGAGCACAGCTGTTATTCTAAGATAAAGATAATGCTGCAAAAAGGAAACTGATGGAAGAAAATATTTTGCTCCCCATTGTTCAGCATGGTCTCGCCCTCCTAGATTCTTCCCTTCAGCTACTCATAACCGTAATTCCGATATCCTCTGACCCTTTTAATCCCTGGACACCCAGAGCTGCTATGTAGTCTGCATAGAGGGGAGTTTAAATTTCTGGATGCGTAGAGCGCAATACATCTTTTAAAATACTTTAAATGGACAGCACCCACCCCCTGCTGCACCCAAGCTTTTATACTTGCCTGGCTATGCTCCCTCACCATCTCCGTACTGCAAACCTTTTGTGTCCGAGCTTAGACGGGGTGATTGGCCACTCGGCGTGAGCACTGTCGCATTGGGTAGGTCATGTGTTCCATCACATTTGGAAGCCCCGTTTCGTTAGTAACTGTTCTGGCATTGTGGGGAGCCAGGTGGGCTAACATCTCTAGTGTGGGGGGGTGGAATATCTGCAGACACTGTTCTTTGTCCTGCATGGATTTCCGTATAACCAACACAGGACATGGCTGAGGATGGGGTTCATGTAACTCAGGGAAGGTGAAAGACAGTAGTAGCCATGCATACATTGTTACTACCAGTGACATATATTTTTGTGTGCAATAAAAGTTGCAGATTACCCCGCTACCTACCAGTGCCATCCAGCTGGGACCTTTTGGTTCCCTTTCCTGCATGGTTTGTGCATTGTTGTTGGTGAAACATTGTTCTGTGCACCTACGGATCCCCCAGTCCTGGTCCATACCCATCTAACTCAAGTTCTAGCAGAGACAGGTTTGTGCATGTGCACACGGGGGGTGGTCTCCAAAACTGCCTTATGCATTCAAATGTATATGTTTGGGTGCAAAGTGCACAGTGAGGCCGCATTTAACCTGCTTTGCCTGTAATGCAGATGCACCTCAATAGGATGTGCTGCATCAAAAGTAATGCGAAGTGAAGCAGATTACATGCAACCCCAAAACTGTCACCCATACTGCACTTCTTAAGAGGACAGCAATGTGCTGAGCAGTGTTTTATGTGTGGGTAAAATGCTGGAAAAATTGCTATATTCATAAGTGTCATATTTACAGTAAGCTTTGGCTAACTTCCAGTTTTTGGATGTTAAACACAAATTGGAATGGGAGAATCTTTTTTTTTTTTTTTTTTTTTTTTTTTCTTTCTTCTTAAGCTGCTAACAAATTTTAAATAGCGTTGAAACCTGCTAGTAGTTTGTCTACAGTGACACTCAACATTCCAATGCTGCGTTTAACCTCCACAAACTGGAGATTAAAGGTGGTTTGAAGCTGAACAAAGCAAATATTGTCTAAATACAAGAATCATTTGTATTCTTAAATCTTGGTGTGCTTTGTATATTTTTCCAGATCTGTGCAGTAATCCAGTGTGAAATTTACCTCTGTGCAGGAGCTCCCTATAATAAAGACCAGTCACTGCTGCTTTCTCTCCTTGTGCAAAATGACTGGTCTTGTCTCCGCCCCTCCTTTAGTGTTCTTGTTGTACACACTGCTGTCTATAAGCTGAAGTCTGTGTGAACAAGGTCATACTGACTTTTGTATTGTCATTCAGCCCTCTCTGCCCCCAGCCTTTTGTGTGAATGGTAGAACTGATACTGTACATACTAAGGTCACCAGTTAACTTGTGTGGGGGGCTCAAGACAATTGTCCTGGGGGGGTAGGATATATGCAGTAAATCTAATTCTCTTCATGGTACTTCCTGTGCAGTCAAATTAGTTAAATACAGTATGTCTGTGAGAGTTCTCATTTATCTGGGTCACGGTATAGCTACTAGTAATTGGTCACGTTCAGCTGGACTTGTTCTGTAATGTTCAAGATGTTTCATAGCATATCCAAGCCACTTCAGTTCTAATGAGTGTTGGGAAGATACCACAGACACCTTAGCCCGCTCACCATTGAATGTGTTAAGTCAGATGTTGATTGTCCAAGAACAGGATAGGAGGATGAAAGTTGTGGAACCACCCTGTTTTAGCTACGTAACCCCATCCTTGGTGTCAGGAAGTCTGCATAGGTGCTAATTCCTCAATCCATATAGTTGAAGTTGTGACTTGTCAATCCACTGGAGTAGACATGTTTTAACTGGCATTGTATGTGGAAAACAAATGGTGGCCATCACACCTGTTCAGGGATGTATGACACAAATGGCCTCTTTCACACATCACTATCTTCAAAAGAATGTCCCTTTTCCTAAAGGTGTAGAAAATCTGCTGAGTCTTGACCTGTAGATTTTGCTGTTCTATGTTGGGCCATTCATTTGTTGAGGTTGTTTTGTTTCCCCAGTGTACAGGTCTTTGCAAAACAACCTCTCAACAGACAAATATTTCAAATTTTACATGTCAGCATTGAGCAGCCTCACAAGCTTTACAAATTATTTCAAACATTTTCATAAAACTGTCTGAACTACAGGAAATTCAGCTTTATCCAATGTCCATTGTCTTTCTAGATACAGCCGCGTTTGGTCCTGGACGTCTAACATGAGGCAATCGATAACCAACATCAACAAACCACTGGTGATCTGTATTGTAGCTGCATTTTTTATTTGTGACACTTGCTGGTTTCCTGACAGGCCTGTCCTTCCACAGACCGGTAGAAGGAGCCCCTGTTGGTCCTGGTGTCTCGTGGACTTCCATCCAGCAGTTACTGTGGCCATACACCGGGCTCCGGCACAATGGGCCCCCTCCAGTATGATGGCAATGAGGATTTCCAATATTTTAGCAGTTTTTTTTGTAGTGTTTACAACACTTGACCCCCCCCCCCCCCCCTTTACCCCTGTACAATATTCTGGACAATTGCGCTTTAAAATAATTTATGTGTGTATATATTATATTTTATTATAAGCCATCAAGAGGCTATGAAGGTATCATGATATGTTTTCTACAGGAGACCGCCGACGACTTATTGATGTGTAATATAGAATAATTTGGAGACGGTATGGCGTGTGATTTTATGGACTGGCGTGCACTGCACTGTTTTTACTGCCTGATATTTATTGTGTTAATAAAGTAACATGTTTATGAATATGTCAGCACTTTGGTCATGCTCAGCAGCTGGTAGACACAGTCCACAAACAAGTGATGAGAGTGTTTCAGTCTGTCGATGGCATCAGGACTGGAGCAATCTTTGATCATGTGATAGAGCGTGGAGTGGAACTCGCTGCCATCATAAAGATCTTCTGAGAATGTGTCATCTGATTCAGAGATCTTTAGACGTTGGGTCCTCAGAGTGCTCAACAGGTAAAGGGACCAATCATCCTCATTGGAAGAGTCACGGCATTCTCTCACCTATGAGCACCAGAAAAAAGAGTTAAGTCAAGGAACTGTCTTATAGCAACCTTTTAATGACCAGAGGTGCCCAGACTAAATAAAGCAGCATCGGTACACCTTTTTTTTTAACTTGACTAAAACTGAATAATTCACTTATAATAAAATGCCGAGTGTTGAATGCCATTTTTAATATTAAAACATCAGGTAAACTCAATAAACATTCCTCAATAATTATCTTTTGTTATGTATGTGCCCAAGCTCTTATCAGTTTCTCAGTTTCAAAGCTGTTTGTACCAGCTCTCTCAGTGCTGCTTCTCCAAACTTCCAGTCAGGGAGCGGGCACACTGAGTAGGTCATTTGAACAGATCACAAAGGACAATGCAGTGTTAAGCACCTGTCCATTATCTTGGAGGAGTGACTTGCCATACTAGGCTTCAGGGCTTTCTCTGTTGATGTGCACAGTTGGAAATGAATGAAAAATGCACTGGAGTAGACAAAAGGCAGCTTTGTCAGCTCACACTACAGGAAGTTAATTTACTGACTAATTATGCTTTTTTTTTTTTTTTTTTTTTTTTTTAATTAGAAGCCTACAAATGGACAAAGTTTTTTTGTTATAAATTAAATTTAACTTGAGAGCTTATAATTTTTTTTAAAGTATTTTGGTAGCGAGCAGTTTATCATTTATTTTGTGTAAAGTGCAATGTAAGCTGATGCAGTAGCTTTGTTTTGTAAACAAACCCATGTGATTGCAGATATCAACTGTCATAATGGTTAAAGAATTGGGAACCAGTCAGTACAGTTTCCTGACCATTAGTGTGAGACCAGTACTGTCAGCGACTGTGCAGTCTCCGAAGGGAAGCCCATATTGCTGTAAGCTTCTAGTTCTAAAATGAGAAATTGATTGTTCCTTCATAGAGCATCATACCAAGTGCCATGCACCTACAGCAGGGGTGTCCAAACGTTTCAAACAAAGAGCCAGCTTATTGTCCTTCATACTTTAGGAGGGCCAGTTGTGGCCAGTGGGCTTAGAAAATTTCCTGGGCCCAGCTTCAGTGAAAATGAACATGGCCTCAGGGTTCATGGTCAGTAGGAGAAAGTGTAGGTCCCCATAATTGGTGTCAGTAGGAGGAATAGTGCCATATCATTGGTCTTGGTGGGAGGAATAGAACCCAGTCATTGATATCAATGGAAGAAGTAGTCCCCCATTTTTGCTGTCAGTGGGAGGAATAGTGCCTCTTATCATTGGGAGAAATAGTGCCCCAAGGGCCGGATAAAGGCTATCAAAGGGCCACAGTTTGAAGAACCCTGATCTACAGACTGTGAACTTTGAGTTGTAAAGCAACTGCTTAGTGTGATCAATAAACTTATTGATACTCTGAACATGCTAAGCAGAGAGGAGAGCCCAGGGATGAGTTTATCAGATGGCTGCTACTCCTTCATGACCAATCACAGGTGGCTTTTCCCCTCATATTGATGTACTGATTGTAGACATGTTCCTCTTAATACCTGTTTTTTTTGTCTGACCTATTCTCTGGAATCTTCTTTTGAGTACAATCTATGGCTGTCAGGAACAGGACACCAACCTGCATCACTGGATTCTAGCACGAGCACATGTGCGTGTGCTTAGTTCTGCTACTAGAATTGTGTCTGCGCTTTTTTTAGACAGTTGGCACCAGGCACGCCATCAATTCTGGTTCCAGTTACCAAACCAGTCTTTTACCTGACCTGACTCTTCTGTGGCTCTCCTCTGCCTGCTCCAGCGTTGACATTGAGTGTTCTCAGACTGATTTTTTTTTTTTTTTGTAGAGACTGTCTCCTTGCATTGTCTAGACTTCTCTACACTGGTTATTCACAGGCATGATCCCACTACTGATCGGAACAGAGAATGGGCATTTTGACCTTCTCCATTTCCAACCTGGGCCAGTTCACCCTCCTTAAACCAACCTGGTAGTCCCTGGCTCCCCTAGAGCCACCGTATTGATACTGAACTTAGTGCAGACACCCAATCGACATAGCGCAGGGTAGACCAGAACTCCTGGACTTAAGTAATCCTGACAGCCTCAGCCTCCTGAGTAGGGATTACAGATGCATGCCTCTGACTCATTCTTGCCTGACAATCTAGTACATTGATGCCCGAAAGTTGTTGACCTGGCCTGTCCTTGAACTCTGTCTCTGCCTGCTATATTGGTACCATCTTGCCTGGCTGTTGCTGACCATCTCCTGTCACTTCTAGTTGCTTGACAATAGCACTCATGAAGTTCCACTGACCCCACCATCCATTGGCACTTGTGCCTCTCCTTCTTCCCTGCACACTCTATTCTACCTACAGGAGTAGTAAGAGAGAGGCTGCATTTGCCATCTCAGGCTTCCCATCAAGGTATGTGATAATGGCTGACCCTGTAAAGCCGGCCATAGACCGTTTGAATCCCAGTCGGTTCACCAGGGACTGGCCAAAATTTGAACTATGTATGGGCAGGCTGAATGTGCCCAAGTTGATCTCCTGCCAGGAGAATACAATGGCTCCGCAGGAGGAATTCTCCCCATCAACACTGACTGGTTGCAGGAAAGAATATTGTTCCATCTATGGCCAGGTTAAGGCTACGCTCACATGGCAGGTTATCTGGCAGGTTAACTCACTGGCTGCAACCTGGCATATGGACAAGCTTATTAATGCCACATTTATACCTGTGGTTTCCACTACACCGATTTATATGCGAGAAGATCAGCAGTGATTAGCTGCAGGAGGCAACCTATTGAAAGCAATATGGAGGATGCCAGCTCCCACAGCTCATTGAAGCCACTAACATGTAATTGTTACGCAGCAATTACCTTTGAGTGATCGTCCCTGGATGCATGTCCAGAGCCAATCTCTTGCATGTAATTGCTACATGTCTGCAGGAGCTGACCGTCTTCTATTGCTTTCTATGAGGCTGCCTATCCTTTAAGCTTTCTGGTCTGTTTTCTAGCCTTTGCTTCCCAAGGCATGCTGAGACTTTTTAGGACAGCTGACAAAGTTCAAAAGCTGAATTATATGCTCATGTTGTAGAGGTCTCTGGTCCCCACTATGGCCCCTGTGTAGTATCTGTGATGAAGAGGGGCACTAACTACAGCCACTAGATTGCTGCCTGTGAGGAATTTAGGCACTCCCAACTATGTCCCCTGTGTAGTATATATGAGGAAGGGTGAGGGTACACCTGTCTACCTCCTCTTTGCTGATATCTGCAAGGAAAGGAGGCACTTCCAATTAACTCCTCTGTCTAATACCCACCTTGACTATGATCTGTTCATGACTACAATTGTGGTTCCATTTACTCCAGCCAAATGCGAAGGATGGTGACAGAAGTGCCATTTCCCTGTATGCCATTTTCTCTATTTGTTCACTCTGGAAGAAAATTAATGTTGACAATTGATTACATGTTTGTACTGTCACAGTTTGGTTTTTATTTGCTTCTTTTTAATATTCTTCCCCACTTTGCAATATGAATCTCAGACTCATATGATCTGTATTGGACTGTGTATGTATCTCCTGCAACTACGCAAAGGCCGTATCAATAAAGCTGAACTCCAACCTTCCCTTCACATTTGCACAGTTGTACAGGCTTTCCTCCTGTACTGAAGTAGCTTACTTTGACTTCACTGTGCACTGTGAGCGTCTCAAAATGTGCATTAGAAGCTGCAAGTCAGAGCCCACCAGCAAGGGGCCAGTTTACTGTCCTGACTTTAGGAGGGCCAGACCAAGGCCATTGGGAGTAGAAAAGGTCCTGACATTGAGAGTAAACATGCCCCACCTTAGGTTTCATTGGGAGGAACTGTGCCCATAATCATGGAGGAACTGTCATCTTGGGTCAGGAGGAACTGTGCCCCAATCTTGGTGTCATTGGGAGGAACTGTGCCCCAATCTTGGTGTCATTGTGAGGAACTGTGCCCCATTCTTTGTGTCATTGGAGGGAATTGTGTCCCATTGTTGGTGTCATTTGTGGGAATTGTGCCCCTTCTTTGGTGTCAGTGGATGAAATAGTGCTCAAGTACCGGATAAAAGTAAACAAAGGGTTGCATCCAGCCCTCAGTCCACAGTTTGGAGACCCCTGGTCTAGAACAGTGGCCGATTGCTGGATGTGGCCTTTTGTTTGAGGAATAAGGGCCACTTAAGTGATTTAGTAAACACACACAGGCCACAATGAAATTAAATAGTTCATAATTTAGAATAGCATAATGAACATTTTCCTCCTCCAGCTGCTGAATGCTTGCGGGAGGAAGAGGAGAAGCCAGATTTCAGCGGCTGCAGGAGGAAAATGGAGAGGATCGGTTCCTGTATATGCTGACCCCGTTGCCCCTCCTGTCCAAGGATAAAACAGAATGTGACAGAGAGGCTGCAGTGCACTTCCCTGGTTTGAGGTCAAGGTCCACATCAGAGGGCTACAGGT